AAATATTAAAAAAAAAGAAAATGTTAATGACTCTATGATGTTTTAGCAAATGGATATTCCATGCCTTCGGTAATTATTCCCCTATGAATGAATCTTTAAATCATTTCAAATTTTGAGGTGCCTGGCTTGCTCAGTTGGTTAAACATCTGACTTCGACCAGGTCATGATCCCAGGGTCCTGGGATTGAGCCATGTGTCAGGCTTTCTGCTCAGTGGGGAGCTGCTTCTCCCTCTCCCACTGCCTGCTGCTCCCCCTACTTGTGCTGCTCTTTGTCAAATAAATAAAGAAAATCTTTAAAAATAGTAATAAATAAATAAATAAATAAATAATTTTAAAATTTTACTGTCATAAATAACACTGCTATAAAATATTTACACCTACAGCATTTTATGTATTTAGAATAATTTTTTTTAAAGATTTTATTTATTCATTTGACAAAGAGAGACACAGCGAGAGAGGAAACACAAGCTGGGGGAGTGGGAGAGGGAGAAGCAGGCTTCCTGCCAGAGCAGGGAGCCCGACGTGGGGCTCGATCCCGACCCGAGCCAAAGGCAGATGCACAACGACTGAGCCACCCAGACACCCCTAGAATAATTTATTATGATAAATTTCTAATATCACTGAATTAAGACATGAAAAAATCTAAGGTTAATTATATATTGGAAAATTGCTTTCCCTAAGTATTGTACAGATTCATGTTCTAATCAGCAATGTCTTACAATCTCATTAACTGCAGTTTTCATCACTTACTTTTATTCTTGCTAATTTAATAAGAGAAAATATTTGGAGTATGCAGTTTTTTTTTAAGATTTTATTTTTAAGTAATCTCTCTACCCAAAGTGGGGCTCAAACCTACAAAGTCCGAGATCAAGAGTTGCATGTTCTACCACCTAGCCAGCCAGGCACTCTTAGAGTTATTTTTATATGTGTTTTTTTTTTATTGCTGGTTATTTAAATTTTTTTCTTTAGCTAGACAGTTACACTTCCTCTTTTGCATATTTTTTATTCATGTTGTTTGGCCATTTCTCTAATTTAGAGTGTTTTTCTTATTGATTTGCCTGAGTTACTTACATAATAAAAAGTTGGCCGTTTGCCTTCTAGATTTGCTCTAATAGTTTCCAAGTTTGTTATTTGCCTTTCAAATTTTTCCATATATTTTAATTATAGTTAAATTATTTATATAAGCTCATATATAAGTAAATGAATATCATTATATAAACTATATATTTATGTAATTTAACATTTGCTTCCATTTTTCTCCTAGGTTTCTGTAGCTATATATTTTTTAATTAAATATTTGTGAGGGTGTAAATTATCACATTTAAAAATTTTATTTTGAGTAATCAGTTCACAATACATACATATATCAAATCATTATGCTGTACATCTAAACTAATACAACATTACATGTCAATTATATCTCAACAAATCTGGAAAAAATATTTTATAATGAATTAATTGCATCAACTCCATTCATTCATTTAATGATTAAGCATTTACTCGGATAAGTGATGATAAAAATTTAGATAAGAGACATTCTTACAGGCTGGTGGAGGAGACAAACAATTCCAGGATTATGTGATAAATGCAGTGATAGAGGTATACATACTATGGGCACATTCATTCAACTTTAGTGACTACTAGGCCCCACATATTCTATGGGGACCAGTCATGGCCCTTATTTTTAGAAAAGAGAGACTGAGAGAGAAATTTAAGTCAAACAGGAGTTATAGATAAATTTATTGGAGGTGTAAGCGACTGCCTTCGGCTCAGGTCATGATCCTGGAGTCCCGGGATCGAGTCCCGCATCGGGCTCCCTGCTCGGCAGGGAGTCTGCTTCTCCCTC